CCCATCGATTCTTGGGGCCCATTTGCATTTGAATGGCGTCTGACGATGATCAAAACGAAGACGACGCGACATCTATTGCTACCACTTACCGTTATACAGCGCTCAATGCTAGCGGTGTTCTGTTTTTGATAACAATGCCCAAAAAGTAAAAGTGTCGAGACCGCCCTCCTCCGGCCCTGCCCCACGACCCCTCCAACAGCTACAGCCAGCTCGGCCAAAGTCAGAAATAACTCACAACAGGGAGAAACCGTCAATGAATCCACTTTGTAGCAATAGGGCAATAAATATATTGGTCTATGGTATTTGTATTTATGTATGTATGTATGTATGTATGTATGTATACAAAGCTTATATTTATATATGTATGTATACAAAGTTGTTCTGACTAACTTATTTATTGACTGACTGACTGACTAACTGACTGGCTGATATCTGTTTGCTTAGGTCTGGAGAAAATTACCATTCACAAATAAGATAATTTCGTTTATCTTTTATCATCTATCTTCAATCTTGTATCTTGTATCTTGTCTTGTATTTATATCTTAATCTGTATCTTCTGTCTTTTATCTTGTCTCTGTGTCTTGTATCTGTATCTTATATCAGTATCCTATATCTGTATCATTTTTCTATATCTTTTATCTGTATCTTGTATCTTTAATATATGTATCTGTATTTTTATCTGTTTCTATTATCTGTATCTTTATCTTTATTTTCTATATTGCATCTTCTATGTTTTATCTGTATCTTGTATCTTCAATTTACGAATGTGTTTTTATCTTTATCTATTATATGTATCTTTTATCTATATCTACTACCTTTTATCTGTACCTTTTATCTGTACCTCTCTCTTGTACCTTGTATCTAGTATCTAGTATCTAGTATCTAGTATCTAGTATCTAGTATCTAGTATCTAGTATCTAGTATCTAGTATCTAGTATCTAGTATCTAGTATCTAGTATCTAGTATCTAGAATCTAGAATCTAGTATCTAGTATCTTTTATCCGGTATCTTGTATCTTGTAGTGGAGAGAGCATATTAATGTCAACTTAATTTCAGTTCGGCTTAAGCTTGAGTCGCTTTGTATTTACATTTGCGAATGCCATTTACAAACTTCGACCATATTAATTTCACATTCCCTTCAATGGCAGGCGAATGCTTTACATTTTCTTGACATTGATTGATTTGCGAGTTAAAGCTGGAGTCAAGTTAATCAAGTGCAGCTTAATCAGTTGCCTGTCATAATCGGGTTTGCCATCTGCTTAACTTAAGGCAATTACCTAAAGAGCAGCCACATCTAATTTGGTGCACTCAGCAGCAGCAGCA